AAAAAAAGGGGGGGGGTAGGAGTGTTGAAACATGCACTAAGATATTTTAAAAATCTGGAATCTGGCAAAGAAAAGAGATGCCAGAATTGGGAACTCTGCACAAACCCAATTCCCTTCCAGTTACACTCAGCAGGTCCAGCTCCCCCCCTCTCTCTACACTGAGTATTATTTCAATGGGGAGGGAATAAATCTTGCAAGAAGCTGGGAAAAGGGACTCTGTATGCACATGAGTGGTCTCAGTCCATGTCAGGGAAAACACAGGAGCATGAATAAAGAAGCTTTCTAAAGCTATAAATTACTGAGAGGCTTGTGTTTGGGAAGAGAGAACAATGCAGGAGTCTCCCTCCACAAAACACATTGTTATATACCACTGGTGTTTCTTTTGTGTCCTTGTAATAATGATTAGATCCTGTTTAGCTAAGGAGGACAATAAAGGAGTGCACAAGGGCACTGGATGTTTGCCTTCTTCACAGCTGAACATTTCCTGGGCTGCTCTGCTTGCCTGAGCACAGGAGCACACACTGCCCCAGCAGCACAATGTCCCTCTGGGCACACTCTGCCCCTCAGCTGCAGCACATTTCACCCCAGTGCTCGCCAGCAGCTCCCAGAGGACTGAACCAAGTCTGATTTCTCACCCATCTTCATGTGTGTGCATCAGTTTGTGTGCAAGGAAAAGCAGGAGCTAAACCCTATCTTTCAGTGCCTTGGATGTGCCTTCCCTCTCTCAGTCCTGCCTGTCCCTCCCTTCCTTCCCACCCCATCAGCCAGCCCTGCCAGTCCTGAAGAAGGAAGGGACTGTACTGCTGCAAAGAGACAGAAGGGCTTTGCTTTAAACCAGCAAAATAAATATATCAAGATTCCTTTCAAAATCTGTAACTCAGCTTCCCCTTGCTTGTTTTTCTTGGTTCACAGAGGTCCCTAGTGGGAATTTTACATAACAGATGTATTCTTTTCGTATTAGCAATAGACCACAAAACACTATTTAACACCTCAAAAGGAGCCTATATCTGCTCAGGCTGATCTCATCGTGCTGAAGGTGCACAGCAATTCCCTGGGAGGTGAAGGATATCACCAAGGAAAGCATGACTTACCTCGAAGCATTAACAACAGAGCAAATGCCACACATTTAACTCAGAAACCATGAAGAGAAAAGAAACAAAAACCGCCCTGAAGTCCCTCTTGATGTTAGCATTGATGGGTGAACTTTTCAAGTAGCACTTTTTCTCGAGTGCTCTGAGGAGCCCACCTGGTACCGATGTCGTTCTGGGCCGCCAGGCGGAAGGTGTAACCCAGAGCTGGGCACAGCTTGGTCAGCTTGCAATGCTTCTGGCTCCCAAAGTAGCATTCTCTGAAACCACTGTTCCTCTTTCCCTGGAAAGAGAGAAATCTGTAATGGGATGGCTGTGAAACAAAACCACGCTGGTTTCAGAATGAGCTCGTTTCATTAGTGATATCAGAATGAGATGTTTGCATAAAAAGCAAGCGCTGACAGCACTGCTGTGCTCTGAAAATCACACAGAGCCTGCCTGCTGTCGGATCCCTTCTCTTCTCACCTTCTTGCAGTTGTGAGATGCATCTACAGCTGCAGCTTGAAATGCAATTTATCCCACTCACGACCAAAAAAGCGGGAAAATTATGAATGAAGTGAATCTCTGAATCTCCTCGGTCGCAGAAGCAAGGGAAAGGTGCAGCCAGCACTTTGCAAGCTCAGTCCTCCAGCTGAGCATCCCTCGCTGGGATTGTCTCAGCAATTCCCTATCCCACAAGAGGGCTCTCGCTCCCCACGGTCCAGCAGCCCAGGGAAGCTGCCTGGGACCTTCCCCTGCTCTCCGGGACAAAATTCCCTCATCCCAGAGGAACATCCAGCGTGCCGGGCTCTGCACCCACCCCACTGCCCAGATTGCACAGGGCATGTCACCAGTGAACATCATTTTTGGAGAAGTTTGGAACTTTGTTAAGGAAGTCGTTTGCCAGAGGGATGTTTTTTGGGAGCTTCACATCACTGTGAGACACTTCTCCAGCTCCCAGATGCTTCCTCAGGTACTGGTCTGTACCTCAGCACCGCTGAGCACACTGACACTCTCCCTGGCCCCACCACATTTAAAACAAAACCAAACCCGTATCAATGCTGCCCAGCTTGGTACACCCTGGGGCAGAAATAAAGCTGAGCTGTCTGCAGGACAGAGACCCTAAAGTAGCAGGGAATATCTGGACTCATTTTAGGCCCCACATGGAAAACAGGCAGTTTGAAATCTTTCAGAAGGGGCATAGACTGCTCACCTCCTCATAAATGATATCTACTAGAACAGCTGAAAGGAGTATTTCAATTATTGAAAGTATTTCGATACTCAAATACATATGTATTTTAATAAATATATTATAATAAATATAATGTAATAAATATATTATTGAAAGTATTTCAATACTCAAATACAAAATTACTGGACAATTACATTATGAAGTACCCAAAAGCCCACCAGAATGGAAGCCTGACAAAGCACATCCATGGGCTCCAGCATGTGCAGAAGACAGGGTTATGCCCATCTCTGCAACTTCTTCTGACTGAAAAGCCATTTACTAGTTTTGGCACTCGTCTGTACCATTTTTAATTTTGCACCATTTTTAATTTTGTACTATTTACAAGGACATTCCCACTCCAGGCCAACAGCCTCACCTGCTGTGCCTCCTTGAGCTCACTCTGCCCTCCCACACACTGCTCCTCCTCCATGCTCACAACATCACCACTAAAGATCTCAAAAGTGCCTGAGTGGGACATGCATTTTTCACTGGCTCATTTCTCCAGCCCCTGCCAATTTCTAACTCTTCTCCCTCAGACTGTGACACAGAAGGAAAAACTCCCTGAAACGTTTGCAGTGAGTCCCCAGAATGTGTTTATCAGGCTAGAAACAACCACACAGATTTCCAGCACAGCACAACAGTGTGGAGGCACTGAAGGGATGTTTAGCACACTGGCAAACAGCCAGAACTTTTATTTATACAGTTCTAGAACACTTGTTCTAGAACTCCTTTACACACAATCCCCTTCAGCTTCACCCACTGCTCCAGCAAAGGTAAATTAAGGAGGTAAATTAAGAAATTGGAAAAGAAGCACGAAACCCAAAGCAAAAACATTTTGTACATGAAGATCTTTTCAGATCTAAAATCCCTAGCCATAGAATGCTATGACAGAATTCCTAGTTACAGAGTTCTATGATAGAATTTATTCAGGATAAAAGTAACAGGTGGGCATACTTCTCAGCTAAGCATTAATATATCTAAAATGCAGACTATACAAAACCTAATTAGAAATCTTATGTTTCAGTGAAATATCCATTCATCGGTTCAGCACTACTAAAAATAGATTTTTCCCCTATGCAAACTCTCTTTTACAGGTTGAGTTGCCTTAAATTATTTTTTCCTCCATGACTTCACTGCTTATAAATAATTGAAAGCATTTAATTTATTTTGGATTTCTGTTTAAGAATGCCTTTTTAAGAATAATTTTCCTATGCTTTTTTTCCAAGAGAACAAAGTGACCAATTGCTAAGCATATGGTCAATAAAACAATGCTGGCTAAAAAGCAAAATCATGGAAAATCTCACCTGTACCACAATGCCTGAACTGAGAGCAATGGGCCAAGCAAACTTTCATTTGTCAGCCTGATTGGTTAAAACCTTGCTGAGATGGCCAAACATTTATGGTATCCTTAACTTTATAACAGTACAAACCCTGATATTGTATATATTTCTTTTCCAAAACTGGTATTGTACATTCCCCAGACTCAGTCAGAGACCAACTGGTATTTAGATTACTCAGACTGGCTGGTATTTTGGATTCTATTGGCACTAATTGGAGAGGCTGGCCGATATTTCTAATTATCCTGGCATTAATAGCCTGGAAATAGCCTCTCCGCTCCTTCTCTCCCAAGATTTATGAAAGCACTAATGCTGGCATAATTATAGACAGGAACAACTGGCAGGCTGGTACTGGCTGCCACCCAAGAGTCTTACAGCTTTCCCAGAATCCTTCTCCTATTCTTTGTACACTCCATGTTTTTAATCCTTCAAATAACGTTTCGTAAATTGCTTAAAATACACGGTATAATTTCTGCAAGGATTTGTAATCCCCAGATTTCAGAGGGAGGGTGCTGTCAGACTTCCCCAGCCTGGGGAAGTCTTCTCCTGCCTTCTCCAGCCTGGGTTCCCTCTTCTTGTCCAGGACAGCCCACCCTGTGCTGGACCATCAGCAGCCTGTCTGAGGAACCAAGGACAATCCACAAATCCACTCTGCCTTGCACAATGCTCCAACACAGTGTTTAAACACAATTAAGAGCTCTGCCTGCCATTCCAGCAATATTTCAAGCTGCACACTCACTCAACACAGGGTGCTTGATTTTCTTTGGAGAGTGTATTTACTGAAGAAGGGATTTGAAATGGGTTTTGCTGAGTGAGGTCCCTGCAGCAGACCCAGTAAATAAAGGCAGGAGGAGGAAGGGGCCACTGCAGGTCCAGCAGGGCAGGAATGGAGCAGAGTCCTGCTCACAACTGAAGCAATGCTCAGCACCACATCTGTGACCAGGATGCAGGACTGACATCTGCTGTGGCCACACCAGCACTGGCTTCTGGGTTTGGGTCGTGCTGGCAATAAAAAGGAACAGACTGAAATTCAATCTGACACAGAGCTGCGGAGCAAACTGTCAACAATTAGTGCAACACACCCTCAGATCTCTGCAAAGCATTTTCTGTGCCAGTTATGCAAGTAACTGGATTGTCTCTACACACAAACACACAGAAGGCAGAAAAGGACCTACAAAACATCCCTAAATTATACACAAACCCCAATTTTATGCAAGGCTCTCCTCCTGCATGTCTCACTAGAGTGGCACAGCCACAGAACAAACTTGGGAGGGCAGGTAAGTGAACAAACACAAACATGGAGAGCCCTGTACCCAACTCTGGTGGATCAGCACTGAGATGCCTGGCTCAGATTATCAGCTGGTATAAACAAGCACACCTCTGCTACTTCGAGGAGCTTAAAACTTTGTGTCAGAACAAAATTATCCCCACTTATCTCTATGTAAACTTCATTATTAGCTATCCATCATCAAATCATTAAATAGTGTGGTATTGTATCAGTCTCCTTCTTTCTCAAATTAAAATGAGCTGCTTACTGGGTAAGAATTAAAGCTGTTTTGAGCTCTACACAGGGACACACACTGCATGAGAGGGATGTCCTTGTCTCTGGCTCAAGAACATTCCTGCCCTTTCCCATCCAGATGAACAGGATACTCTGGCTATCCATATACTCAAGAGAAACATTTATTTACTACCACTTAATCACACAACAAGCATTTCACATCTAATTAGCAACAAAGGCCTGGTTCTTACAGCAGTGCCAGCAGCATTTTTCAGTGCAGTTACAGTTTACTGATTTTGAAGAATGCTGGCATCAGGAAAATCATCACCTCCTTTACAGTCATGTTTTCTGTTTGGTATATTTTTAATGCTATTTTTTCCCCAATTAGCTTTTTGCTTACCATGAATAATCAATCCTGGCACCAAGTCATCAATTGATTAGTTCAGGTTTTTAAATTCAAAGTTCATAGCAAAAGAGCCAGAAGGTGAAGTTTTCCTTAATTACTAATTTTAACTAATTTTATTGCCAGACAACTAATGCACCTGTGGTGCAAGCATGTTCCAATTCCAATGAAATCCAGAATACCTGAGACAGAGGCTGATCCTTACTTCTTCAGAGCCAGTGGAAATTTTCCTAGGGTACATGCAGTGTATCTGAGTGACAATTTGCCGAACTTATCTTTTACTCTCCTATTAAAGAATTAAGTGTCCTTCATAGTTCTTCAGGCATTTTAAGAGGTAACAGTTTATTAGCAAGGTATGACACCCTAATTCAAAGACTTGGACCAGTAAGGGGAAAGCATTTGTGTTTCCTGACTAAGCATGTAGGTAGCACCAGTCACATTACAAACCATTTAATCCAAACTGGGATAGAAAAATGTAGGGTAACTGGAACAGTTTTATGTACTAACAACCTTTCAGAGTCTGCAGGTCAGGAAAAACCCCAAACCTCAGAAGTAAACCGAAGCAGCAGCTGGGTAGGACGGCACAGTAACATATTAAACAGTATAACCCTCTAGAGTTTCCAACCTCACCTAATGCTGGGGCTGTAAACACAGCACTTCAGCTGCAGCTTTACAGCCACAATTCATTTTCTGCACACACAGGTGATGCCACCTACACTCCTGGAGGCACTGTGGATGCTACAAACTCCTCCTCTACCCCATAAAAACAGGAGGAACCAGGTGAGATACTGCTGAGCACCTGACACACTCTGGGCTGTCCTGCAGACAGACAGACAGACAGACATCTGTGACCTCCCCGCCAGGAGCACAAAGGGGCTGCAGGAGCCCCTCCCTTGCAGGGGTAACTCTGCTTGAGCTTGAGCTGGAGGAACACACTGGTGTGACTGGGACACAACTGGCAGTGTCTGCCTGGATGCTTCCACCACTCTCCCCACCTCCCATGGCTGATGCCAGCTTTGCTTCCAGAGTCTTGTGCAGCCTTTGCACAAGAACCTTCCAGGACCTGTGTGCTATGAGTGTGTCAAGGGCTTTCCACATCATTCTTTCCTAGGAAGGGACTCAACTTCCTAAGCAGGTTGCCACTTCAGGGTGTTTTTCCACCTTTATCATCTGACAGATTTCTTGCTCTCTGCTCTTGCAAAGCCCTCTCTGCTTTGCAGCCACGATTTAATTTCCTTCTGATCGCTGATTTTCCCATGTTTATATTTTACCCTGTGCCTCACAGCTAATGAATGCTGCTCTAGCTGAGATCTGGCAGTGTGCTCTCTGCTGCCTGGCAAGCCCTCTCCTGTGCCTTGCTGTATGTATTCCTTGATTTCTCCAGGACACAGTGTGGCCTTGTGGAAAAGGCAGTGCTTTTGCTTATGGGGAGTTTACAGAACCAAGCTCGAGGCTGCAGGGCACTGCAAGTGAATTCTCTTTTGTACCTGGGTGCCAGAATTCCAGGAGCTGAAAGCACTTCACCTCAGAGGCAGAGCCTGCCATGGCACAAGGAGAAGAGAGTGCAGCATCCTGCCAGCCCAGCACTGCATCTGAGGAGGCTCCTGCAAACCCAGGCACAGCCAGCCTGCATCTTCAGATCTTTCCTTTCACAAGCTTTAATAGCAGGCTTTAATTTCAGTGGCCTAAAGTTGCATTTCTGTCTCTTATCAGACAGATAAGAGACAGAAATCTCTCTCTAAAAAATTTTTAGAGAAGCTACACCTTTGGCATTAACTGTCTCAGAACCTGACACCTACATTTCAGCCAGGAGTACTGTCAAACCATTGGAGATGCACCAAATTAATTTGTGCAGGGCCATTATTCTTTCATCCGTGCTGGCTAGCTATCCATTATAATCTCAGATTTCAGTGCTGTTACTGAGAAAACAAGGTAATTAAAACAGGTAGACTAAAAGAATCTGGATGCCTTAATTTTTTCCCATTGGTAGCTGAACCACCCTAAACCAAACTGCTTTTGCTCTGTGAAAAATGGGTGTCATTACCACTCTTTCTGAAGATAAAACGAGTTTGAAGGACAGCAGGATTTTAGAATTGCCCTATATACAACCAACAGTATGCCTGTGCTCCATGTAGTCAAAATTAGCATTACAGTATTTGCACTGTATTAATTATCTGTTGATGGTCATTCTTCTGACAGGATCTTCTGTTCCTTCCCTTTCCTTTGCAGGCTGGAATCATCCATGTTTCCACTGCTCTGTTCTGCTCAGTTCCTTCAGCTCCAAGTTACTGGAAGCTTTGGAAGAAATCACAAGTGCACAATCAAGGTGTCATGGGTCTAACAGGATCATCCTGGCCCATCCTTTTGGAGAAATATCTCTAACTCCTTCCCCAGACTTCACACTCCACTTTTCCCCTTCTTCAGTGACAGCCTTTGGCTTTCCACTATGTGCAGAGGGACAGCAAGTCATTCCGAAGTTATTGCTCAACTTTAGTTCAGGTTCTGAGGGTTTCTCTTCATGCAGACCCACCAGCTGTGACAGTGCACACAACAAATGTTTGCACAGTGAGAGGTTCCAAACACCCAACATGTAGCAGAAATGTGTTACTAATGCCATGGTGAGAAACTATTCATAACAGATTACTCCCTTTAGAATATTTTTAGACTAGAAAAGACCTCAAGAGATGTTTCTCAGACTTTACAACCAAACACCCTTTCACACCCTTCATTTCCCAACTCATGACTTTTATTTACATGTTGTCCAAGCCCTTTCTTGTCACCCAGTATTTATTCTTTTCCTTCAGAGATAATACTCCCTGACTCATGCTTTCTGCAGAAATATGACTTGCAGAAAGGAAAGGGGGCAGAAGTTAGGGGACAGAGGGAGGACTCACAAGAACACACCCCCAACAAATCCTGCACATCATCTGTCAGGGCACTCTCCCAGCAGCCCAGTGCTCACTAACCACAGAAGATATTCAGAAGAAAACTTATTTCCTTTTGTGTCTGGAAGGGGGCTAATTGCCACTACACAAAGGACACTTATTTTGGCCCTGAGTACATTCTCTGTGGACAGTTCTACAGGATCATGACTAAGGCAGGAAAAAGTTTATTCTGCACTCAGCAGTGGAAGAAAGAGATCATGAACAGAACTGTAAGATACATCACAAGTAATTAAATAGTAAGTAATGCTAATTAACAAATAAATTACACCAAATGAGTGATAAATGGTTTCAAGAGTACAGAAATGGAACACTGTCTCTATATAAAATAGACTGAATGGAAAGTTTTCCCCCCACTGCCTCTTTCACCTTTCCAACTCTTTACCTAATGCCATCAGGATTTCATTTTCCCATTTCTACTTTCTCCTGTATTTAATTACTTTTCTTTACTCAGCAAATCCTTGTAAAGTCTGACTGCCATTTATTTGTGTATTTATTTCAACTAGTTACTACTTACCTCATCCCACTCCAGAAGGTAGCTGGTGATTTTTGAACCATTATCAATGGGTGCCTATGAACAAAAATAAACAAAAGGTGATTTGGGGAGTAAGAGAAAATGGCTTCACCTCCCCCAGGCAAATGACTACAGTTTCAAGTGAAACCAAAGCTTTGCACATGGCTTGGCAACCTCTTAACGAATGCCGGGAAGAAGCTGGACAAAATGAAACACACACATTTAGAAGTCAAGTCGGTGCACAGGAAGGGATTTGTCAGAGTAGAGCAAGTTCAAGTCCCTTACTGCAAAATGACTGTTTCAACTTTCAATTATTTCCAACATTTATGCTCACTGCCAGTACTTTTTCCCTGCTTTTGCCCAAACCAAGTGTTACCTACCTTCCACTGTAAGGTTAAGGAGCTTTTGGTCCTGTGCGAGGCTTTGGGTGGGAAGGGACTCTCTGGGGCTGAGCTGTGAGTGGTGAAGCTGACTGGCTCTGAGCAGGATCCTTTGACTGAGTTGTATGTTGCATATACCCTGGAACAGCATTGAAATGGGTTAGAAATGTGCTGACACTTACAGGGGCACTGCCTTGGCCATGGTGTTTGACCACCAAAGCATCCACTCATGACAGGCTTATCACAGTCCAGTGGCTATCCTAACTTCACTTACACAAGAATGCAAAAAAAACTACAGCAGAAGAGGAACACTGTTTTGTGCAAATATTCCCACAGACCACTGAGTTATCTCCATTATCTTTTCTTTCCACCAATATTTCCTTGCCTATTTCCAGGCCTCCACACACTGTGGAAAAATCCTCCTTGAAATACAACAGAAAAAAAGGTATAAACTTTAATGCCTGGTTTACACTTGATCCACAGGTACCATGTTGAGTGCAGGTATCTGCTGGTCTCCCTCCATGGGTACAATCTTCTCCTACATAACTCAGGTATCAGCATTTACTGGGCCTCCATGGACTAGAACTAACACAGGCCAGCAATACTGCTGTGATTAACTAAAAATCTTCAAAGCAAATTTGATTTCAGGCAAATCCTCTATATGTCAGCATAGAACATGCAATAACAAATAATATGGGAAAGCAAATGGGATATAGTTGAGCACTTCCTCACGAATTTTCTCCGAAAAAGTAATGATGTTATTTTTCCCCTTCACGTTTTCCATGCAGAAAAAGAAAGTGCAAATTGGGAGTCTTCTACTCAAATAAAAGTTCAGGCCATGACCAGACAATGACCTCTGAGTTGGCTGTAGCTATTGTGTGCTTGAATGCAGAGCTAAAGAAAGGGCAATTTCTAAATTTGTTTTCAGTAGATAAGAGTAATTCATGCACAATGGCCACCTACGTAGAATCAAACCTTCTGGGGGAGGTAGATGAGATCTGGTGCTGCTTTACACATCACCTGTTAGCAGGCAGGAGCAAAAGGAAATGCAATTAATTAATTGAGTCTGCATCTGGCAAGTGGCACATGTATGTGCTGGAAACGAGTGTGGCTTTGCACCCAACACACCCCACAGGGGAAATAAAACCGTGTGAAAAGCAGCTCAAGGGGCATCTCCTGCAAGCCACCAAAACCCTGAGCACAGCCAGCTCCGAGGGCACCACAACAACACTCCTGAAGGGAAGCAGGGGGTGGCTCACAGCAAACCAGGTTGTTCCAGGTTGTTCCAGGTTGTCCCAGGGCCCAGCAGAGCAGCAAGGAGCACAAACTCCTTGTCCAGCAGAGACAAAGCCCTGAGAGATCCTGCCAAGGTCAAGGAGACCCAAGGCGATCTGCCCAGTAACTGCTGGCCCCATAAATTTCTTTACTCAACAGATTTATTTCTTCACGGTCATTACTACATAATGTAGTTTCAGTGAAGGAAAAAGAATTTAAAAACCTGTGGTGGAAAGCAAACAGCCACTGTTTCAGTGACAGCTTGCTCCACTACAAACAGTACTTTGCTGACTTTTGTATTCAGTCACTCCTCTTTAAACAGAAGTTATTGTTAACTTCTCACAAACAACCTGTACTTTGGCAAACCTGCAAGAAGGTGAAGGTTTGGAGGTAGAGAGGAAGAAGTCAGCCAGGACCCAGGGCAAATACCCACAAAACCCCTAAAAATGACTGAGACCTCAGCCCAGCTGTGCATGGTGACCTCTCTGGTGTCTGAATTTGTCTTTAAAGAGATGTTCAATGCCCAGAAGGAAGCTCAATAGTGTTTTACAACCTTCTCCTTGTTACCATCCCTTTGCTGCTAAGGACAAGACTCCTGCCCCACATGGGAGCTGTATCTTTTACTCATTTATGAAAAGTTCCTTCTCATCTTGTGCTTCTACTCAAAAAGTTCATTTTAGGGCTCCACTAGAAACAATCCTTAACAATAAAAAGAATCTACACTAGCAGAGCTAGATGGATACATTTTGATGTTGGATTCTTTTTTTTTTTTTTTTTTTTTTTTTTTTTTTTTTTTTTTTTTTTTTTTTTTTTTTTTTTTTTTTTTTTTTTTTTTTTAGAGTTTAGAAGCAAGGTGTTTGCTCTTTAAAGTTTTACACACAGGAGCAACCTTGATGTGAAACAGTGTGCCTAGCCCTTGTCTGGAAAAACAGAAGGGAACAATAGACAAGAGTGAAAGGATTTTTTTTTTTAAAGGATATTGAGGGTAAGTGAACAGGATGTAAATTCAAAGCCTTGGGTCATAAATAAAGTCTTTAAAAAAAAGCAACATGAGCAGGTAACCAGTGTTAAAGCCATCAGAGAACAAAACTAGAATGTGTTAATAGTTAATAAATGTGCAAAACACACTTTCAGAATCAAAGAGAAATATGTTATGAAAATATCAACTCAGCTCAGTGTGAATCAGTTTTTCCTTGGAATAAATACTGAAGTGACTATGTATCATTATGGATCTGTATTCAGCAGCTTTACATCCCCCTAAGAGTAGCCTACTCATGAAAAAATCGTGGAGTACTTCCAGTGTTCATGTTACAGGAACTGAAGAAACACCAGCTGCTTGAGTCAGATTTTTACATGACCTCAGATATCCTACTTTCATATATAAGCACTTCCAGGCCTGTTATCCATACAGAAGTACAAATCATAAACTTCTTTTTGCCACTTACAGCAATGACAACTACACAACAAAAGAGACTGTTCAAAAAGTACTCTCATAGTCCAAGATAAAATCTATGATAAAATCTTTAGAAATCCCTGAAAAACACAACTACAGAGGTCACCATGAAATTCTTGAGGTACACTGTATATTTACTTCAACATCTTTCACATTTATTTTCATGTAATTGAAGAGTTTATATTTAAGTGACATTCAAACATGCTAACTCACCTGACGTGATAATCTGTTGCTGGCCTAAGGTCTTTCAGGTGATATTCTAATTCTTCTCCACTGTAGGAAAGAAATCCAAACCAAACCAATCAATAAATTATGAAAAGCAATATCCCACTTAGCACAGCTAGTGATTTTCCAGTGATATAATTTGAAAGAAGAAAAATAATCCCTCCGAAGAGAAACAGTAGCAAGCCATATACCAACAATTTGTCAACACACTTCACATTCCTTGAAAACTTCATAAAGCTCCTTATGCACAGAAGAAAAGAATTTATCACACCAATTTATTCAATAAACTAAATACATGGGGTCATTTCAATGCTATCTTATATTCTGCTGATATTTGTATAAAGCTCATTGTGGTTTTCAACCCTCACAGAGCCGAAAAGAGCGAAACCCAAACATTATTGTTGTAGTTTCTGCATATTCCCTATTCAAAATATTTGATACAAAGTGACCTGTTGAACTTCAGCGGAAGAAAACAGAGTTTCTTGCACAACTGCTTCACTTATTGCTCTCTCCTGCAGAACCACACTCCCTCTGAGTACCACAGCAAGGAGACATTTAATTAACACCCAAACAGCTGGACCCAGCTCTCCTTCAATACCAAGAAAACTTAAAGTGGTTTAGACATTTTAAGAAATAACCAGCATACAATCTATTAATTTCAAAAGCCCAACATAATTTCAATAGCCCAACATAGTTAGGGCTATTCTTTTTCCTTCTGGCTTGTTTGCTGGTAAATGAACACTGGGCTCAGTCATGTGTTGCCAAATGTGTGAAGATTAACGTACAGGTCAGTGCTTAATAAGTAATAACCCTCCCATGTAAAAGCTTGGCTTATTCATGATTTTATTAAAATATGGGAAACAAGAAAGCTCTCAATTTAGCATAAAGAAATTTTTTATAGCTAGCTGGACAAATACAGGGAGATGTCTCAAAATCAATAGAAGAAAATCCACCAGAAAGCACACGCCTGCTGAGTCGCCAGAAATCCACCAGCAAGACTTCTATTTTTTATTTCATATCATACGATGCTGTGCAAATCCAGTTTTTCCCCTCTGAAATGAGTGCACCTCCTTCCAAAGACAATGTATTCAACATATTGCAGACTCTCTTTTGCCTATAGTAATATCAATTACTGCTGCTCCTGATGGAACATACCACATCAAGCTCAAGGCTGCACTCTGGCCAGCAGCAGGAGACACATCACCACCAGCAGCTTTAAAACAGATGCACAACATTTCATAACCAGGGGAAAATGTGCAGCCATCAAGCACAAGAAGTACTAGAAAGTGTCCTTCCCACTTTAGAAGCTCAGCAGCACACACTTGACTGTGGAGATGCTCACACTGGCTCACAAACAGCTGCTGTAAATGCCAGAAAAAAGTAAAATCAGGCAGCCTTTCCCTGGTTAATACACCCTTTTTTATTATCCAAGAGCTGCCTTCAGCATACCAAGAGGAATACCCTAATTCACAGGACATTTTAAGAAAGGAGATGGCTTGGTCTCAAGAGGTAATTCCTTAAATGCTCTATCACCTGGACTTTATTTAATGAGACTTGGGAAGGATTAGCTATTTCACAACAGCCAAGGTCACATCTCCAAATTCTCTTTCCTAGACGTCATTAGCAGTGAAGAAGAAAGGCATAACACCATATGTACTTGATCACAGAATGAGCTCAGAGGATCACTGCAAGGAGACACAGAGAAATCCCTCAGAATTTTTACTGAAGCCTGCTGAGAGCCAAGTATTCGGGGTTTTCTGGGGAGCCTCTGTAACCTACTGACTGCCCCACTCCCCCCTCTGCTCATCTAAGACACTGCAAAGCACCAAAACCCTCACATTTTTCTCGTTAGCTGAAATAACAAGATTTTACTGTTCTAAATTCTGCAAGTCCACACAAAATTAGCCCATTAGGAAGGCAGCTCTCCTGCCTGCATGGTGTACACGAAAGGTTTTGACATTTAGCATAAAAGAAAAGGTAACCTTTTCACTGGCAACGGGATGATGGCATCGAAGGCAGGGTGTGCCACGTGCCAGGGAGGTGGGTTGGGGTGGCAATTAGGGACCTTGTGATATGAACTCCACCAGCTTCCTGCAAGCTCCTCTGGTGAGGAAACGTGCCTTTCTCCTGTGGCTGATGGCCATGCCAGGATACACCCTGAAAAGCTCAGAGGATTTACTCCTAATGAAACAAAAAAAGTGGAAAAATGTTGGTTTTTACCTGTAAATGATCTTGTATTTCCCATCTCTCCCTTTATCTGATAAGGCAACCTCGTAGGTACAGGTGTAAGGCAAACCGTTGTTGTGTCTATCTGCATTGAGAAGGCCAGGGGGAGGAGACCAGGAAAGCAAAACTGTTCTTGCTTGAATATTTGTAACCTATAAAAGAACCATCAGTTAATCTGAAATCTGAGGAAAATCCACTGTTGGGTAAGCATCTGCTTTTTGCTTCCATCTTCACAGTCAATTTCTTGCAAAACGGAAATTTCTGAGCTAGAGTTGAAAAGTAAATGGTCAGAAATGATCAACAACACAAACAGAAACACAGACTCATGGCAAAAAGTGATCTCTAAAAGATAAGGAATACAGAGGGAGGTTCCCATGCAGGGAACTGGCTCATCACTGTCTGAGCATCCAGCAGAAGATGCCTCTGGAGGTACCTGCTGCTGTGGCCATTCCCAAAAGGGACCTGGAATTAAGTGAAGCAAAGACTTTAACCTATAGATGGTTTTATACACAAATATTTTTCTGAAGTTATTGCTGGGGAGCTTTTTCAATGAAACTCTGATGGCTTTTTCAGTCATCCTGTTCTTTGTTGCCACTTGAAACCACAGTAACTCAACAGCAAGTCAGTAGAAAAACCCAATTCAACACGAAAATTTATGCTGGCTCAAAATCACAAGGGAAAAGAGTAATAGAGGTCCAACCTGTCAGTTAAAAACTACATTGCAAATCAATCACTTTGTGCCTTGACAGAAGGGCTGTGTGTGATTTGCAGTCACCACTGCGTGCAACAACCCTGTGGCAGAGGGATAAGTAATCTTTTTTAATAAAGCATGGAAAAAGTACCTCAAACTCCTGCACCAAACCAATTTTATCACCCCACCAGTGCCACTGTATTCTTCTGGAGAGCCAGGCTCACACAGCTTGCAGAATTAGCATCACCTTGCTCACCAGGAGAGCCACTGGCACATCAGCTGCACACAGGCAGCAGCAGCTTCCCAGAGAGCAGCCTTGTTATCAGGCCAAGAAAGAAGAATTAAAAAATCCCCCCTGCCACTGTCTCACAAGAAAAATAAATAAAAAGTAATAGCTTCACTGGTTATCTGGGAAAGGCAGCACATTTTCACACTAGCCTGCTAAAATATCCCAGGAAAGCCTCAAAGCCTCCAAAAACTCAAATGCTCTGCCACCAACTCCCCACTTTTGCTGATGAAAATAATGGTGTTTTTCCCTCTTAACTGCAGTGAATATATAAAGAATATTTTTTTAGTTAGCCTCCATATGGAGGAATTAAGGACTGAGGGTTTATATTCTTTAATTTTCCTATGAAACAAATAAAAAAAACCAGCAAAACAGCATCTATAATTTTGACAGATTTTTGCAACACAAGGAGCAGGATGTTGTTATTTCAGAAGGTGTAACAAGAATGCTGCAGGTGCTCAGTTACACATTTCCTAACTTTTGTTGAGACAAGTGAAACCCCTTACCCACAAATTGGAAATGAAGTATCACAAATCAACTTTCAGGGACTGCTTGTTTACAAATCCAGCTTCTGGATATCTTTATATAATGGGGAATATTTACCTTCTGGTGTGAAAACACATTGCTTCCAGCTGATGAGCACTGCAACTGTTGTGTCTGATACCCATATATCAACCAGATTCTTTCTGAGCAAGTCATAAATCCATTTTTAACAGCCTGACAAGTAGGTGACACCATGAAATGTCTCATCATAAACGCCATGATCTCAAAAGTTAGAGATTTTAATTTATAGCAGCACATTTAAGTCTTGCCAAAATAAGAAAACCTTTGCTCAAGCTAATGTGAAAAATAAGTTTTAAGGCAAGAAGGTTTAAGTAGCATCAAGCTTTCTTTGTAAAAAACATGGATGTGTAAATTGTTTTATGAATTTTCATGGCATTTCTTGCTTTAATGACATTTTCTTATCATATTTTTCTGATGCTATGAAATCAATGTTTATTTTAAAATCTTGAAGCAGTCTGATACTGGATAAGATACCTTTTAAACATCTTGATTGATTGAAATAAGACAAATAAGTTAATTTTTTGAGATATACACATATATGTATACGCACATACATATGTAAATGAAACTGTAGCAAAGACACGTAAAGCTAAAAATCTGCATTTAAAATAATATTTTGATCAAAAATCTGATTAACAAGATCCAAATAGATTTTAGTTTTTTTTAACAGACATTACTAGTATGCCAGCTCAGCCCATCAACATGCAGTTTCTTTTATTATGGAAATATGCTTGCATAATTGTTTTTCATAAATTCAGACAGACTTGGAGCTGGAGGCACAATATCCTGCCAATGTTCTATTGAAATGTTTTTCTCTATGACTACTCCCAAGGACACACGTATATATTCCACATACGGCAAAACTCTGGCCCTCCATGAACTTCAGCAATCTGTAAAAAGTTAGGTCTTGGGTTTCTTAAAATAAGAGAAAGTATCTTGTGGGCTAACTGCTAGAAACTGTCAGACTATTTTTCTGAAGGCAACAGAGGATAAAAGTCCAAACCCAGTTGCTAAGCTGCTGCAGCTACACCATTAATTTCAGAGGGAAGGAGCACCCGGAGTGGCTGCTGGCTGCCTTGGAGCTCGTAGGTACACAGCAACTGCTGCTGCAGGTTTGAAAATAAGCACCAGAAATGGTTAAACACCAGGCTTAGCTGCACTGAGCACACACAGCAAGTCCAGGAAAGCAAGTGAGGGGTCACTGTCCGCAAGATAAGTAAGAAAAGGCAAATCTATTCCCTCCCTGGGCTGTGCACGTCAGCTGGGAATGGATTTATTTGTGTGGCTGGAGATAAACCTATCTGCTGCTCCCTGACCAAAAAGCTGATACCATATCACAGTCACCTGCCAACATCTCCTTTCATGGCCAAAGCCACCACTGAGTTTACCAAGGAAATCCTACCTGGAGCAGGAAGCACTAGCTTTGCTGTGAAAATAGCTAAGTTCAATAAATGGGGTTTTGACATGTTGAGAATAACAAGCAGGCACTTGTAAAACAGTTCCGTATCTTTACCTTCAACTTCCCCAATTTACACAAAAACCTTTCCAAAAGGTACAGACCTGCACCAGCCCTCTCCAGGCTGTAAGGAGCAGCCCAGCTACCACCACGATGGTGGGCATGGCCCTTCTGGACTTGCAGACAGAAATACTTCACCATCACTTAAAAACAGCTTATTGTTCGTTCACAGTGCACTAATTCCATCTGGCAAAATGGAAGCAGCCAGAGCATCTCTTCCCAGGCTGGGCAGGTAAATCTTCATGCTGCCTCTGAGTTCCCCCAGCCTGTCTCATCTGTCCCCAGAATCACTGTGCTGCTTTGAAGAGGGCTGGCTCGGCCTTTTAGCTGAGACCTAACAAAAGATTCTCCCACAAGGAGTTCTGTACGTCTGCTGAAAAGCAGAGTTAATTAGTTTCTGAAAACTTCTCAGTTTACACAGTAAATGCCTCCTTTCTGCTCTATCAAAACTCGGCGGTGTAAATAATTATTCCATAAAGGCCCCTGGGAAAGAATCCAACTCCTGCACCACTTCAATAAGGTTACAAGACTGATGAGTATCAGCCCTTCCCGTCTTTCAGGTAATGAAAAATGTTTCTGTACAACTTCCATTATCTTTCAAATTCCGGGTTAGCATTCACAGGCATCGTGCGGTTCGGGGCTCATTGTATGTGTGAGAACTACACTGCAAGCAACATTCATTTACTCCCTCAAGGGCACGGTTTGAAAGGCTTGGGGGTCAAATGAATTCACAGTTATTACTGGGTTGAGATTCTGCTTTTAAATTATGGCTCTAATCCTGCAATTTTAGGCAAAAACCCCCAGTGATTAAATATGAGTTTCTCTGCAGAGCGAGTCAGCAGGAGCAGGCTGCCTTTTGGAAAGCCAGGCTGATGTCTGAGCTGGGCTTTGACAGAGCCCTGGTGATTCCCCACAGTGGGGGATGTCCCCCCGAGCCCCTTGGCTGTCAGATTTAGCCATTTCACAAACCCAGAGTCAAGTTTCCCTCCTCTCACCAAGGTATTTCTTTCAGAGAATGATGACTTTGTCTGTGATAACGTGAATTAAAAACATATTTCAGCTGACACAAAACCATGGGGGATTAAAAGCAAAAGGTGCTTTTTAAAATTCTGGCTGTTAAAGAGACAAAGCTCTGATTAAATTTACAGCTCAGCTCCACACCTCTCAAACAGGTAACAACATCTATTATTGAAAAAAGACCTTCCATGAAGTAAAATTTTTTAAACTGTGTATATTTTGTACTCAGAGAAGTACCTGTGTGATCCAGACACCTCCCAGTGATAGGTCTCCTGCAGAAGTTGCTCACAAGGCTAAACCCTTTGGATGGCTTCATCCCCCATGGATGGAGAGAGCTGCCCACTTGGACAAATCAAATCCATGTGCTGCAGACACAGCATCACCCACCTGTCACTGACTCACCACTGTGCTCTTTTCCTTTACATTGTTTTATTTTTCACTTATATATGCACAAGATTTACCAAGAAACATGACCAAGATGACTATTTAGGCATAATATGATAAATTTCTATCAGATGTAATATTGACTATACACACACAGAATCATTCACAGCAATTCATTATTTGTGAGAGTCCTGTGAGTTTAATTATTCACAAATGTCAAAGTTACAAAGAGAGAATAGATAATCTCCAACATCGCCTCAGTAAATATTATTATTGAACCAGCATTTGCCATGGTTTGGATTTTTTTAAAATCCTATTTTGGTAATGATGAAAGAAAAATTATTTTTGTCTATTTTTTTTCTTTCTTTCTGCTTTAAAGGCTCTGGTTACCATAAATTTAATTGTCCAGATCTCAGAATCCTGCAAATTGCTCTAACAGCTTCTCTTCCTACCTCTAAGGATAAAAGTATGAAACAACACATTTTTCTTGTCAGCCCTCTGGATTTTTGTAAAAGCACCTGGCTGTGGCTATTGACCAAATGAGTAACACTCAGGTGGTCCTTGGTACTAAAATACTGACTCCCTGTGTACAACAGCTCTGTGATAAGTGCACTTTTTTCCCTTCTGAGCACACCAAAATGCTTCAGCTCAGTATTGTCACTTATTTCCACACCAGTGAAGTGACTTCCTCAGGCTGTCCTGCCATGCCAGGACAGCAGCACCTACTGATGGAGCAATCTAACACCAAACCCCTTTTGTATTTATTCAGAACAAAAGCACCCATCACAACAGAGTCCAAAAACTCAGCCTGTGCTCACAGCTGGCTGTCCCTGAGCTCTACCACTCCTGCAGCCCAGGCTCCCCCTGCAGAGTGTCTCTCAATCAGCCTCCATCAGCTGAACCAAACCATGAGCTTTCCACCACTATTTTTCATTTATTTGCTTATCTGTGCCCTATCTCTCCAGCTGGAGAGAGCAAAGATGGGCTGTGCTTTGGGATTATGGGCTGTGCTTTGGGATTTCTGCCTCCCTCTGCCCCATGACTGCTTCTCCCAGTGCTGGCTTGGACCATCCATTCAGAGCCACAGTGCTCCTCTGGCTTTCATCTGACACCCCCAACTAGAAAAGGGCTCACAACCAGATTTATTAATAACCTCACCTGACTGCAGTCACACACTCAGCATTAGGGTTATTTACAGGGTGATTCAATTCCATCATAATTTACAGGCTTTTATGGCTCAGACAAACACAGACTATAGTAATTTGCCATTGAATAATAGAATTAGCTTAATTTAATCATGATTAAAGACATAAATTGCTCATGACAAAGTTAAACCCAGGGGAGAGGGGGTAAGAGCTATGCAAGTCACCCCAGTGCACTGAGTTCCCCATTGCAGTATGAATACTGGGAATTGTCCTCTGGAAACAGACAACTGGTGCAATTCCTGGAGTGGGCAGAGCCCTCAAACACCCATGAACACAAAAGATCCTTCAGATTTATATCCCAGTAAAATGAGTTAGTGGCAGCAATCTGCTAAGGGAAAAAATCAGAGGTGCTCCCCTGTGAAATCACCAGTATGTTGTGACACAATCTACTTTTCACATTTGCTATTGTACGTCTGTGTGGCAATTTGGGATCACATACCTGTGGTTTCTCCATTCCAGAAAGAATGTCCTGAACCCTTTTTGTTTCTGAATCAAATTCTGTAAAAGAGAGAATGTGGAAAGAGAAATAAAAATAAATTACGAAAATTAAACAAAAATTTCAGTTACATAAATAAAAATAGGGGAGGGAGACAGACATTGCAACATGAGTATCAGTTGCCTTGTGAATATAAGGCATGCAGCTACATGGATTAATATTACAAAAAAAATGTTTAAAAATGAGGAGGCAATGAAACTTGTAATTGCAGAGATTCAGAAAACTGAGATTATTTGTAGAGGTGTCCTCCACAAACAGTGCTATTAATTGTGATTTGCATTCAGACAGTAAAACCAGGGTGCTGTTTCTAGAACTCAGCTGTGAAGGAAGCTCAGGAGCTCCTCGGTTCCTGCTGAACCTAACCCTGGTTTGTTACCCAAACCCACCCTCCCTCCAGCAGCTGCAGGCTGGGCTGTCCCCCTGCCCACCAGGGCTCTGAAGAGGACAAATGTCCCTGTCCCATGCAGGGAAAACCCAGGGGAGCCACACAGGAGCCTGTCCTGAGCCCCAGCACCCACCCTGCAGCCACCTGTCCTTAAAGTGGGAAATGCCCAGAGCTCCTCTCCAGCCACCTTCCAGCTGTGGAGGCAAATTCCAGAGCCTGACCAGCAGCATCCATCCTCCCTGCCTGAGCCTGGTGCCTGGCACAGCAGCTCCTGCAGGCTGTGAATGCTGCCCCTAAACCAGAGGGATAATTGTGCAGAAGGTGCTGCAGGGGCCATCCTCTGAGCAGTGGAATCAGCCTTTCCCTCATCCTCCCCCCTCCAAACAATCTTGAGGTAAAACATCAGCTCAGAGTAATGAGGTGACACAAAGCAGCTTTATTCCTTTTGGACCACAGCACAGAGAGGCCTCACTTTCCACTACAGTATTCTCTAATGGAAAACTAGGAACATATTTTCCTGGGGTTTTTTTTATTATTTTTCTTTTTTTAAAATATTAATGCAAAAAAGTTTGCTCACCAAAGCAGAAGAACATATCTTACCTAAAGCAAAATGACCCAGACATCCTTGGCATAGGAAGTAAAAAACATTAATAAACAGGTGGGATCAGATCAACAGCTTTCTCTAATGATTCCCCCAAAACCTGACCTACTTCTTGTAGCCCAAGAATGTGTCTTTATTTTTGTCTGTGACCTGCTTTTAAAAAGTAGATCTTCTTTGTAAAAATTCCATGTGCTCGACTGCCAAAAAATAGAATTGGCTGAATGCTGATGGCAGAATTCCAGTGTAAATGCCCATCTCTCCCTACAAGAATGCACCTTGGTGTGGACTGGGAATGACAGATCTCCTGCTGCACACATTCCTGTTTTCCTTTTAGTCTCAGCCACTTGGAAAAGAAAGGAGCAGTAATATTTCAGGAGAAGTTGAGGATAGCAAGACTGTTGTTTTTCCATAGCAGATAACTCTCAGAGTGTATTATAAAGAGCATCAACTGGCAGGATTGAGCCAGAATATGATAATACTGATTTCAAAATTTCACAGATGGACTAAATTTGCTAAAGGAAAAGGCTGAGATGATGATCTAAGTGAAAGTGTCAAAATTTGGGGTGTTTCAGAATGCAGGGTTCCCTTCAGCATCAGCAAAGAAGTTGAGCTGTGCCACAAAAGCCTGGAAGCAGATCAGCACAGTGTGGAGATCCTGCAGGCTTATCTCGAAGGGATGCTAATCAGAAGCAGCTTCTGCAGCTCTGAGTGTAACAAAAAAGCTGCTACTATTTTATCGAAAGTTTCTGGTTATTATGTCACCCCTAATTACAACCCCCAGAAGCTGAGTGTGAATCACTCTCAACCTTAAATCCCGAACATGTGGACTGAATTTTCTTCCCTCTCTCTGCTTTCTAGCAAGGATACTCTGTCACACTGAGCAGGAGAGGAAAACAAACTCCGAAGCCCAAAGAAATCTCATTTCCCTCTGCCATGAAAGGAGATTGCTTTGTACAGCAACTGAGTCCTCCCACCCTCTGCAGGTCAGGGCTGGGGGTTCAAACTGCTCCAGGCACAGGAGCTGACTCCAAGACTTAAGAGAGCAAATAAATAATTTAATTACTTCAATCAAACTTCTCAATGAAGTGTCCTACTCAGGGAATTTTTTACATTAGTGTCCCAGCTATGTATCTTGAGAGGGCTCTGGGTAGCAGATACAGAGGCTTGGGTTATTACACACATGTGGACATTTATGAGGTCAGTATGGACATTTATGTCACCAAGTGTTTATACAGATAAGCTGGAGGTGGAAGACAATTCTTCAAAGACTTTGGGGAGAGGGAAAGAGGGAATGGGATACACATAACAAATAATGCCCTGTGAAAATAAAGCAAATGCTAAAGGCAGAAAGCACTAAATCTCACAAGTGATGTCTAAAATAGCATCAGAGAACACTGCAGGCTGAAAGGGGACCTCAGGAGTGGTTATGAAGAATTACAGTATTTTCAGAATTTCAAATACTTAGTTTCCCACTTCAAGAGCCATTAAAAAAATATCTCGGGCTTCTATGGATGGCTGACTTCCTTTCTGTAATAAACATGATTATTCACAGTCTCCTGAGCTAGACTAAGCTAAGGAGAAGAGAGACCTGTCCCAGATCCCTCCCTCAGTAGGGAAGTTGCTCCAACCCGCCAATCTCTCTGAGTATCAAGCTCAACATCTTCCTTCCAAGCCAACAAAGAGCAGAAAGCCTTCTGAAACAGAAGACAATAGAGAAGGAAAGAAACCATCTGATATGCTTTATCTGACAACACAGAGCTGCTGGAGGGCCTTTCCTCCTGGCTCTCTGTTGTCACTCAGCAGCCACCAAGGACCATACTCTAAATTAGCTCACTGGAGCATTTAGGGACAAGGACCATGAGCATCTGCTGGACATCACAGACACAGTGATGGAAAAGTGGGCAAGAACAGCAGCAAGAAATGGGCAAGTCTTGATGTAAAACAGGCAAGTCAGGTTCAAAAAAACTACCAAGAACTGCTCAGGAAAGGTGGTGGGTGGCTGAGCATGACTCACCCACCTGGGACTAATTGTCCCTGAATAACAGACAGTTGATTTGCATTTCAATCTTTGCCCCTTCCTCTTCCTCAGCTGATGGAGCACTGAGTATCTGACAGGAAGACAGAAAATATGTATGTCAAACCCCCCAGATGCTGGGGCTGGCAGGGGCAGGAGCTGCTTTCCTCCCTTGCCACAGGGAACAGGAGCTCAGTCACATCAAGGAAGTGCCAAACTAACACTTCAGGTCATTGTCCCATTTTAACTTTTCCTCTCAGCATCTGTTCCCCACATCTGTCATGGCAAAACTCTTCCTCCTAGGAGGAAGCTGGGGGTGGGGATGAATTCCTTGTGAATGCTCCATGGGGTCCTCTGAGGGACAGTACAAAAATCTGAGTTACCCTGCTAATCTCACTGTCTGAGAGACATTACAGCATCCCCAGCATTAGGTTCTAATTCCCAGGCTGTAGGTTCTTTGGATCCAGTGTTTCAGACTAATCTTTTATTGCAGAAAAAGCCAGCTGAAAGACCTGGGCCACATCAAGTCCTCTTTTTTTTTTCAGAGTTTTGAATCATAAACAAAACTCTGTAGATACACCCAGGAGTAAATGCCCCTAAAATCTAAACACTTTCTCAGCAGCTGTTTGGTGCTAACAGGGTTTCAGTGTCAAGCCTTGCTGAACTAAAGCTTTTTATTTTGTGCTTCTGTTAGCCTGTGTCTATGTTCCTTTCTGCACGTACTGCACAAATATAATTTTCAGACCTTTCCAACCATACTTTTAAACACCAAAACACCAAGCACAGCTTTAAAAAACAGGGAAAAAATGTCAGTTCAAGGCAAGTTTGAAGTTTCCATCAGTAGTTTACATGTTTGCATGAACAGCAGCTGTGTATGTAAATGGTTTGAAATAGCTAAAAGCTCTAAACTAATTAAGATTTTCCCATTGCAAATACACATTTTAGGTTTGTTCTGCATTCTTTCCTTCGAAGAGAGGAAAAGGTCCAGCTCAAGACTTAGCTTCTGGCCACAGAAAGTATTTACTGTTTCAACAGCCTTTCCATTCCAAGGGAATGACATCAGCACTAGCACTTTGCACACTCTGAGTCGAATTCTCAAGCAGAGCTCACAGATATGCCAGTCATAACATGACATGCTTTCTCAGAATTTGTTCCAGATTTATCGGGGCTGTGACCGCCTTTAATGCTGGGAAAGATCTTTCATCAGTCACGTACAGCACAACCTACAGCCCCCGAGAAAAGGAGTTCTTCAAAACACAGCCCAGCTCCTCTGCGAGCTGCCTGCCCGTGTCAAAGCTGAAGACACCAAGGAGAACACATACAGACTTCCAGGGAATTGCAGAAATGTAAGTTAACAAGCTCCTTGTACAAGAACAAACCTAAAGCTGCAGATGTCACGCAGCAGCTGAGTCACAGGACCAGAGGGGATGTGACAAAGTCACCGAGTCCATCCTCCTACACTGAGACATGCTCATCCACGCCCAAACCGCTTCTCTGAGACTGCTCCCTGGCCCGTTCTCCCAAAATAAAGGACAATTAAATAAATGACCTCCTGCCCCATGATCATGGTCATCTCCAAACTTCTCAGCCAGGAAAACCCCCACAGCATCTAACTCATCATCACAGGGAAGATCTTCTCAATTTTCCCTGCTGCATCTGAAATTTATTCCTTCTTTCCTGCACATCTGCCCCAGGCGAGTTCACCACCCCTTCCTTTGTTGCCACCTTTCACATACTTGCAGGAATTTCTTTAACAAAACAAGCTCATTTCTCCACACATGTATGTAAGAGACGCCACCTGCTGCTGTCCTCTGCCACATTTTTAAAATTTGTTTCCATCCTTCAGAGGATGTGGCACAGCCCTGCCCACCATGTGCCAGCTGAGGTCCCGGCAGCACCAGAACTAAGAACCCATTTACAGAGCTTGCTTAGAAGTTTACTCTTTGTCTACAGAATAACTTGACCCTTGCTGCTTGCAACCTCCTATTCCTCCCAGAACTAC